CGACCAGTACACTCATCTGCTCCCTTACCTTTGAAAGGAAATAAGATGAGTGCCTACTTGGTTTCATCGACCGAATAGCCTCAATCGAACTGAGACTATCCGAGAAGATGAAGTAATGGTCTGCGGGCATGTTGGAAATCATCCCCAATGCGAAGTTGATTGCTGCCAGCTCAGCAACAAAAACGGATATTCCCAGTTGTAGAGCAAGAATGAGATTTGACAAAAAACTCAGGTCTCTAACTCTTACCAGTTCCCTGGAAAAAAAATCCAAAGTTTAGGTCAATTGAACCGGAAATCCTCCGTAACGTGGAGAATGTTGTCGAAAGGAAGGCACTTGGAATGCCTTCAGCAGCTGCAGAGACAGTGGAGAGAGGAGCAGCGATCTAGCAACACCAGAACACCCGATGAATATTGACGAGATGCCGCTTCAAGTTGAATACCGTGTCTACTTTGAATGTTTTTCCATTTGCCCTGCAAAGCACAAAATTCACAACCACCGGTACTGTCGTCAAACCGCACTTTTTGCTTCGTGAAAAACAGTTTGCACTTTGTCCCCTCACGTCAAGCTCTACCGGAATCTGTGGAGAAACAATAACGCATTTGCTCTGCTATCTCTCTCACGGAACACAGTGGGACGAATTAAAAAAAAAGTGGGACATGGCTATTTGCGACGAAACTATTGAGTATAGCTTTTTGTTGTCTTCTAGAATGTTTCTTTATTTTTTAAGTACTTTATTTAAGTAGCAAAAATTTTTGGTTAAGGAGGGTATACACTCAGATAAAAAAAAAATAACTTTTTTATGTCTAGTTAAATTTGATGAACACCTTTGGAAACATTGAAGATGAAGTCTTTTTAAGAAACTTTGTCCAAGGTGTAAACTTTCTATCTCTCAAGTGGACGAAGTTATAGGGTGAAAATGGACTACAAACGGTAGTACCCCCTTAAAAAACGTTTTTTCACCATAACTTTTTTCTTTGAATTTTATAGTTTATTAAATATTCTACAAAGTTGTAAGTGCTTAGAAAATGCACATTTTTGCAGAAGACAGTAAATCGCTATCTCTTTGTTTAAAGGATTTACGCCAATTTTTACAATTTTTTTACACTATCTTTAAGGGGGTGTACCTTGCAGGTTAGCAGGTATTAGCAGCTAATGACAAGATCATTTCATTCAGCAACTTATACCTTACTGTTTCATATACAATTCATAGGCGGATCCAAGGGGATGCTTAATAAATTTTCAAAAAATGTACCTCAATGTTTTGTTACGTTGTGCTGTTTTCATGAAGATTTTTCCAAGTATGTACATATATGAAGGCAAAAAACATGTTGCTTACTGTTAATTATAACAAAAGAAATCATTATGGTGAACATTTGCACTAGCTATCAATATTAAATTACAATACAGCAGGTGATAAAACATTTATTCAAACTCTTTTGATTCTTGTTTGGTTACAATTTTTATTACAGTAGATAATTATCTTCCCAATCTTCATCACTGGATGAACATGGCATCTCGTTCTTTAAAATACTCGGTTCGTTCAAAAACTTCAATGCATCGCCTCTGAATGGAATGCTTTTCCTTCTTGGAATCTTTCGCATTGATGAAATCAATGGGTCTGAAGACATCATCAGTCGGTTTAAAATGTCTTGATTTGTGGCTACACTGTTGAATACAACAACAAAACATAAAGCTTAATTATGATTAGAATATATAAAAAAGCACTGTACCGTGAACATTTCCTTGCCCGATGTTCTCGATAGTTTTTGATGTCCTTATTTCGACATTATTAAGGTTCTTCTGATAGAGTACCAACAGGAAGAATAGAAGCTCTTATAATGTCTGCGCCGTGAATCAGGAAAATTCCAGAATTCGTTAGTGTCAACATCAATTACGGGATTAAACGCAAATATGTTCAAATAAATGTGTTACCACCTGCTGTATTCTCATTTAATATTGATAGCTAGTGCAAATGTTCACCATAATGATTTCTTTTGTTATAATAAACAGTAAGCAACACGTTTTTTGCCTTCATATTTGTACATACTTGGAAAAATCTTCATGAAAACAGCACAACGTAACAAAACATTGAGGTACATTTTTTGAAAATTTATTAAGCATCCCCTTGGATACTCCTATGAATTGTATATGAAACAGTAAGGTATAAGTTGCTGAATGAAATGATGTTGTCATTAGCTGCTAATACCTGCTAACCTGCAAGGTACACCCCCTTAAAGATAGTGTAAAAAAATTGTAAAAACTGGCGTAAATCCTTTAAACAAAGAGATAGCGACTTACTGTAGCCTGTAAAAATGTGCATTTTCTAAGCACTTACAACTTTGTAGAATATTTAATAAACGAGAAAATTCAAAGAAAAAAGTTATGGTGAAAAAACGTTTTTTAAGGGGGTACTACCGTTTGTAGTCCATTTTCACCCTATAACTTCGTCCACTTGAGAGATAGAAAGTTTACACCTTGGACAAAGTTTCTTAAAAAGACTTCATCTTCAATGTTTCCAAAGGTGTTCATCAAATTTAACTAGACATAAAAAAGTTATTTTTTTTATCTGAGTGTATACCCTCCTTAACCAAAAATTTTTACTACTTAAATAAAGTACTTAAAAAATAAAGAAACACTCTAGAAGACAACAAAAAGCTATACTCAATAGTTTCGTCGCAAATAGCCATGTCCCACTTTTTTTGAATTCGTCCCACTGTGGCGGAAGTGAGTGTATAAACAGACAAACAGTGAACTGTCAACTCCCTCACTCTCACGTGCTGTGTCTCTCCAGTGGTGAAACGAAAAATCTCCGAGGAGATAAGCAGAGATTCACCGCAGAGAATGATACCTCTCGCACCCGGGTGATTCTCCCCAGAGAATTTTCAACCCTGTTTAGATCTATTAAGTTCAATGTGCGAATGAAAGTGAAGAGGAAATTTTTTTTTTGTATTTTGAAATGCATTAATTTCTTTAAAGTACCTTTGATAAGAAATTTATTAAAATCCATGTGTAATGATAAGATTACTTGAGATTTACCTGCTAAATTCTTTGAGGATTCCCAGTTTTTCAGGTTTCTTGAGGTAGTAGACACCTTGCCTATTGGTTTTGATGAATTTTTCACTTTAAAGGTTCATATCGTACGTACACACTTAATTCAGATCACCGAGGTCGGTAGGAATTTACTGGGTTTTTGAACAGCAGAACAACTCGGTACAATTTTAAAATGACCGTTACACGTGAGAAATCAATAAAATTTATAAATTTTATTTTTCATCAATATATGGGGTAAACTGAACAACTTCTGTACAAGTTCGGGATATTTTTTTTAATAATTGGATTTTTCACTGATTTTTAAACTTTTACCGAACAGTTCTGTAGTTCAAAATTTACCAAACGACGGAGGTTGGGATTAGTGTGTAAGTGTTTATGAAACCTTATTGAATAAGTCACTATTTGGTCATTTATTTCTTTAACATGGTTACTAAAGTCACTATTTTTGACAGCATTCCCGAGCAAAGCTAAATAAAAACCTGAAATCATCTTGAAAACAAGTCCTGATATTCCAGATAACATTTTGTTTTTAGTTTTTATCGCATAACTAATTTAGTTATCAACCTCGACTGATTTTGCTATCAGTAATTATCATGAATGAATATGAAATGGTGCAAGGTTAGTTCAAAATATGGTATGATGGTATTTGAGGATTATTATTTTGTATTATTTTTTATTAAGTTGGCTTTTGTTCAACCACAATGATAACTTAAAATCTTGATAACCATGTATCACAACTTGTTATCAATTTGGTATAATCCTTTTTTCGGGTTGATCACTACCACCCCTGTGATTACAACAAAATTTAGTCTGACGCCCCTGAAATGGATTTTCGCTAAGTTGTACTATAATAAGTTAAAATATATTTTCAAACTACATCACGTGATATAGTTGAGAATCTTCTATTTCTTTGTAAATATTTTTAGAACACTTTTATGATCCAAATATTCCCAACGACAAAGTGTTCCTGCTGTCTCACTGTTGGCTATTGTCCCTTACACGGCCATGTCCAACTAGGTCCATGCCTACCTTACTGTCTTTCTCGATCGATATTTCTATATCAACGAAGGGGCATAGAAGAGTCATTCGTACACTTTGCATCTTTATCTATCTGCATTGTTATACTTTGTATTTTCCGCAATAAATAAACACCAATGGAATTGTTTTCCTGATAACGCCTGAACTACGGAACCTAGTAATGTTTCCTCTCTATACTCGAAGCTCTTTACTATACCCCAAGATCGTCACGTATCCTAACGCTGACATACGCTCATGCAATCAATGCGGCCGGGGCACGTCATCAGCGCAAAACTGAAACAGCACATTTCATATCACTTGGACGTGCGATTTGACGAATAATGAATCGAAAACCTTGAAACCAGGCTTACATCGCCGCACCAAGTAGAAACTTTTCCCAACGAGTGCGATTTAAATTGCAAACGAAACGCATATCGCAAAACATGCACGTGCCCGGGCGTCGTGGGTTCCTCTTATGAGCTCCTCGCCTAATGCAATCGGAATGAATGAATGAAAAAACAATGAAAGTGTAGACCAACTAGGTGAAGTGCATTTATGCGATTTGTTTACGCGCTCCGCCACCAGTTGGAAAGCGTGCTTCTGGTTTTATTCGAACTGGTGGCCTAATTATTGAGCCGTGCAGTTGGGCTGATTAGGGGCCGACGCACTGTTTGGTGTTTTAATGCAGTGAATTTTACCCGGAGCGGATCAAAATACCGACAAAGGACTAGTTGGAAACGGTGTGGTTCACGGTCAAAGCCACTACTAATGGAAACGATAAAACATTGTAGCGATAAGCAAAACAAACACTATTTATCGATTTACACTTCCTAGAACAGAGTAGTGCCCTGTACTCTCAGCAGTAGTTCACCTCGAGATACTAACATATCTAATTGATTTCGCTTTTTTTTATCTTTCGATTCATTCGCAGACGATGAGTGACACGGCGAACGACGATAGTTGCTCGACGACAACGGAGGTTCGCATAGCGGAGGCAATTAGTTCCGATGCGGACGACCGGAGTGTCATCATGGGAGGAACGTTACCGCTGCGGGGAGCAACTGCTACGCTGCCGGCAAGTGTAGCAGGGAAGAAGCGTCGCTGTGCTAGCACTCTGGACGGGGTGATCAGCACCAAGAACCACCTGAAGCTAGTCAGCAATGAGTTGGACTGGGAGCGCAAGTTCCGGGATGATCAGCTTTCGAGAATACTGAAAGCGTTGATCTATTTCGAGGCGCGTCTCAAGAACGAGCATAAGCTCATCAAGCAACAGCTGCACGAGAAGGACGACGTGATCAATCGACAGAACTGTACGATCAACCGAATGAAACGGAAGCTGAGCGAGGAAAGTGGTAGAGCATTTGCCGAGGGGGATCTCCCGGAGACTGCGCAGTATTGTCCCAAGTGTCGCAAGAGCTATTACGGAGTGGAGTTCCGGTGCAGTGGAACGCAAACCGTGGAGTATCGGGATGATGGCGGAGAGAGTGTCAATACGGGTAAGCATTCATGGATTAATTTCGAGAGGGTTTGGGATGAACTGAATCGTTTTCTTTAAATTTCCAGAAAATCTCTCGCTGAACAGCGTGGAGTACGCCTCGTCGAGCGAGGAGCAGGACTCATCGCTATACGTACGTGCCAATTCGTTCAAGGATGCCCGACGTAGTCGCAAGTACACTAGCAAACGGTCCTACCAAGGATACTCGCGTCCGTCGCGGCATAGTAGCTTCAAAAGTACTGCCAGCAGTGTTAATGGAGGCAAACTGACTGTACTGGGACTGGGCAGCGGTGGAACCGGGACGGCTACAGCAGAAAACTACGAAAACATCGAACCAAATAAGAATGTGCCTAAAATTGTGATTTACGAAAACTACGAAAGCGATAAGGAGAACAAGGCGTTGGCGGAGGAAGCAAACAACTATGACCTGGTGGAACCATCCTACTCGAATCGAATGAATTCGATGCATGGAATAAAGATCGGTGTGAAGCTGAGCGGAGACGATGAAGCTGGACTGCTTGATGATGACAATATCATCTACGAAGAGGAGTCAAGTGGGAAAACTAGCCGCAATCGACAGAAGTACACGGAAGGAATGGAGATGAAGCAGACGATCGAAACCAACGACGATTGGTATGCAAGTGCCAGTGATATGGAAGACTCGGACACAGCACTAGGCAAAACGTACAGCAATGCAGCGGTTAACCCTGTGTTGGAATGTGTGAATCAGGTAAGTCATCCATACAGTACCCGAAACGTAGCAAAACTCAAGCAACTCCCTTTTTTTTAGATACTTCTCCAGCAATCGATGGACGGATTTGGAGAGAACAAGGAAACGTCCAGTGGAAACGACGAAGACATGTACATCAAAGCCCAGGAACCACCGAAGGAACCCACGCAAGTCCGTTCCAAGCGGGTACACTTCTCCACGCAAAACAGCATGGTTCAGGTTCCGCGGATCAATCTTCAACCGACACCGGTCCCCCGTAAGGAGGGTAAAGCTTCTCCAACGTACGAAATCCAGAGCATCTACAGCAACGAGTACGAACCGATCGGATCGGAACAGAATTCCTATTCCAACTATTACGTAGACATGGAGTCCAAGCTGGGTTCGGAAGACCGAGAACGGGAACTGGCTGCTGCTGAAAAGCGCAAGACTCCACCGGCCTTGCCCCCGAAGCCGGCAAATCTAATGAAGCTGCAGCAAATCTCCAAGCAGCAACGGTTGGTACAAATCAAAACAAAGCCTTCCTGCGGGAATAGCGATATCGCAGAATCCGAACCGGACTACTGCTCGATCAGCGAGATCCAGGATTCGGTCAAATGTGTTCAAATAGTGGCGGAGATTCATAAGGAAGCTTGCGAGGATGACTACTCGGTGGTAGACGAAGAAATGGAGGAAACCGAGAGCAAGAAGAGTATCGATCCGGAGGAATCCTTCGCGGACGTCCCGAAGTTGCCGAATGTGGCGGAAATCGTTCCTCCAAAGAAGGAATCCGTGGCGAAGTTCATTAGCCAGGATAACTACATTACCAAGTCCAACAATGGGACACCGGTGAAGGGAACTCCCACCAAGAAAGACGGTGAATTTAGGGAACAGCTATCGGAGATCCTGGCCGAGATAAACAAGCAATCTCCAGCGATCCGGAATGCCTCGAAGAAGCATGTTCCGGTAAAAGATCTCGGCATGGGCTTCCGGAGCACGAGTAACATCCCAACGCTGGGATTTCAATCCAAGCTGAAACCAGTGGACAAGATGAGTTTCCTTAGCAAAATGAACTCCGGCTCGTTGTCGAATCTTAGCTTGAGTGCAAAGTTCAACGGTTCTCTACCGAAACCCGGCAGACCAATGGCATTCAAATCCAGCCTACAAGCGAAACCTTTGAGTACAAATCTGAATTCATCTGGTAGCCTGAACCACCTAGTGCCAACGAGTCCCAGCAAGATCGGAACATTCATTCCCAATTTAAAGCCACCCGGTATGCCCGGTTCGCAAAACGGCCAATCGCCAAAGACCTCACCGGTCAAGAAGCCTCCGGCTCCGGTCATCATAGCCGAAGACAGCAAACTACCGCTGCAAGCCGAGTTCGATTGGTACAATCTGGATGCCGAGTACGGCAAATCGAACCAACCGGACATCATCGTCGAGGCCGACTCGGGGAATGCTTCCGAGACGACGCAAGCGGAAAAGGCTGCCGATGAGTCCGCCAACTCCGCCAACGGTCACAGCTCCGAAGCCAGCGGAAGCGACCTGGAGAACGTGGAGTACAACCTGGACGAGGCGTACAAGTCGATGCCACCGAGCGTGCAACCGCCGGACATCATCCAGAAGAATCCGATGACACCGCCGAAGAACGGCAAGATTCCGTACAACAGCTTGTCCTTCAAGGAGCTGATGACGCTGAGCGAGACGCCCAAGATCGAGAAGATGAAATCGTCGTCGGTGGATGCCGCCAACGGGAACTACGAGCACTTTCTGGACGATTCCGGCCTTTGCTCGAAGCCGATAATCCTACCGAGGAAGAAGCGAGTCTACTACTCGGGACCGTTTGTGTAATGACGACCCTGTGGGTATTTGGGAAATCCCCAGTGTGAATTGCTGTGTATTATAGAGTTGTGGTGTATGTGAAATTTGTTTGCCAAGCACGTAACTGTGGCGAGAAATTAGTTTAGTAGTTCAATGAATTTCCGTGCACGTCGATGATCAGGCGCTTACTTCCCTTTACTGTGCGGGTCGTTGCGGCGCGTTGTTTTCGTTTTGGCCGGGCGCTGTGTGGAATTTTGATTGTTGGCTAGAGTATGAAAGCGAAAATTCAACTGATTAATTCATGAACGTATGGTTTGTGCGGATTGGGAAATGTGCGGCTGCAAATTGACGAAGTGGGTACTTTCGCTGAGTTGGATTATTGATAAATGCGGAGCGGAGTTTGTGGATAAGGTCGAATTATTCAATTGTTATTTTGAAATCACTTTTCTAGAAATGACCGGAATAGTTGGATTTTTTTTCTTAAATTTGCAACATTTCTTTAACCTTTTATTGAAGAATTTATTTTATAGCTAGTAGGCTGACCAAAAAACTTTGATATTTTTTTAGTGATGAAAAATCGGTAAATTCAAATGTGAAAAGTTTTATATTGCAAGAACAAAATATGATTCCCGTAAGCTCGTTCGTAAAAAGCAAATTGCAGTTCCTGCTCCAGTCCAGCTCATCTGCTCCGGAGCCGAATCGCTAAGCCGAACGGTTCACTGGGAGCTGTTTCCCGCAGTTTCCTCAACAATCAATACGAAACTAACGATTTTAAATTGGCTCACTACATGACTAGCCTATTGGTCCCAAGCAAACGATTAACGTACTCCATTCTAGTCGAAATTCTACTACTACACAATGTTTGTTTTGATTCGCTAAGAAAGTTTGACAGATCAAATGAGGGGTTAGTGGATTTTCGAGGGGTGAATCGATTAGCTTGGGACCTAAGAGAGTACCAGAGCTGAGCCCAAAAGTTGAGCACGTTATTTCGGGACCTTCTAGTCTTAGAGCTACCTCTATGGTTTCCCCTTTCTAGACCCGTTCAGCTCAGCAGCTGAACGATTTCCCGCTTTTTTCTTTCCCTATAGAGCCGTTCAGCTCATCTGATTTTTTTCTATTCCTCCGTACTATCAACAATTAATACGAAACTAACGATTTTAAATTGGCTCACTACTTGACTAGCTTATTGGTCCCAAGCAAATCGATTAACGTACCCCATTCTAGTCAAAATTCTAGTACTACACAATGTTTGTTTTGATTCGCTATGAAAGTTTGACAAATAAAATGAGGGGTTATTGGATTTTCCTATGTTTCAAGGGGTGAATCGATTAGCTTGGGACCGAAGATAGTACCAGAGCTGAGCCAAAAAGTTGAGCATGTTTCTTCGGGACCTTCTAGTCTTAGAGTTACCTCTATGGTACTACTAATGGTATATGGAAATGGAGAAGAGGCATGAAAGTGGTTGTGTTGTGATGTAATACTTATGACAGACTTCATACATGATTGTAGCATTGAGGTCTCGTGAATAAAGAAAACTAAACTAACTAAACTTGAGGTAACTGTTAGACCAGGGGTTCCCGAAGAAACATGCTCAATCTTTTGGCTCGGGAAGAATCAGACCTTCGGTCTCAAGTTAATTGAAGCACCCATCGAAAAGTTATCACAGCTAATCAAAACAAACACAAACTTTGACAGATTCGAATACGCAAATGGGGTACGCTCATCGATGTACTTGGGACAAATGGGATGTTCAAGTAATGACATCCCTGGAGAGCACGAGACTTCTATGAAGCTATCAGAACTTGCCTGGATTTTACTGAACTTCTAATTTAAATTCCAAGAAAATCTGGAAGATAAAAAATAGAAGGAGCAGCTAACTTTGAAGAACTCCTGTCAGGTTTGACAAATTACAAATAGGATCAGTGAACTTCGAAGATCTTTAAAAAACTTAACAGAGGATCTGCCAATTTAAGAGCTGTCCAGAAGACTCCAGAGAGGTTCAGATACGTACTGGAAACTCCTGAAAGGATTTGTAATCTTTGGGATCCTTTTAGAGCATTCAAACAAAAGTAAAGATTGGATTCAACCAGTCTATTGGCACCAGTGCTGCAAAATCTCGACAATTCACGGTGATATTCAAAATGCTGCTTTGATCACTCATTCGAGCAAACAGTCATCGTCAAGGCAAACCATGTCAATTGTCAGTGACAATGCTGTCAGTGACGAACATGTGCAGATTTTTTTATTAGCTAAATTTGCAACGAAATTAAATGACTTGAGCAAAACAATTACATGGAGCCGTTAGAGTGAACAAGCATCTACGTCCTGAACTGCTTGGATAACAATAATGTGACTCAGAACGCACGAAATAAAACTTTTTGTTACCAGGTGAATCTTTGTCATTGACGAAAAAATTAATGAGATTTTGACAAAGGGTTTTTTGAGGATCAAATCTATCAGTGACTATGTGAATAACAATTTGGTCAATATCGCGCGAAAGTCTGTCAATGACAGTGACAAATCTCAGCACTGATTGGTGCTACTCCTAGATTGAGTGAAATTTTCGTCAAATTTCCTAATTTTCCGGTAGATTTTTGAGGTTTTCCACAAAAAAGCATGAGGCAAATTTACCCATCGCTAAGTTCCTGCACTTTGGCGATTATGAATAAACTAAACTCAAATTTGGGTCTCGAACGCAACATTGTCAAAATCGGAAGTGATCCTCAGTGGCATTAAAATCTACTTCGTTTTGGGCAAAATGATTATTTTGAATATTATTGATTCCAGAGCCGAAACCCTCGATATTATCGTGAATTTAGCATGAGATAATAATTTGAGTGTGAAAAATAACACTACACGTTCTACAGCGCTATATTTGTCTGAAATGATAATAATCATTTTGCATTTGATCCTCAAAATTATCCCCACCAAGATGAAGACGAATATTAATATTGACAACAATGAAGAAACACCTACGATACTCAGAGGTTGCCTTGATCAAGCGAATTTTGTCATGTCAAAATTCATATTGGTCCAGGTAGTTGGTCCATCTGTTAAGGTTGGCTTCATTTTCGTCTAATTTAAGTGTTGAAGAAATTATGTTTATCAACATAATGTCCTAGCAACGCTGATTACAACAACGTACGTGTTCGAACCACGAGAAAAGCTCCCGGACGATTCTGTTGTCAAAACATGCAGGGTGGTCACTGGACCAGGATGTCTTGGAAAAAATATCTAGATATGTGTTTGGAGATCTAATAGCACCTGAAGGTTTTGGCAATAATTTTTGGTATCACGAGAGAATATTTGAGAGACGTTATTTGAATTGTTGGATAGTTGAATATCTTCAGAATAAAACTTGATTACCCTGAAGTATTGCAAAAATATCATGAGAAGTTATTGGGAACCTATGAGCTCCTGAAGGCTTTGCAATAATTTCTGAGACACCTAGATAATTTCTGATACTTGATCATCCTGAAGTATTGAGAAAATATCCTGAGAAGTTTTTGAAAACTGAAGAGCACCCGAAGGCCTTTGGATAATTTTTTAGACACCTGCTATCATGAGTGAATTTCTGAGAGACGTTATTTGTAATGTTGGACAGTTAAAGTTCTTCAGAATAATAGTTGATCATCCAGAAGTATATCCAAAGAATATTTCGGAGAGCCGAACTGATCAAATATGATCACCTCAAGGCCTTTGGAATAATTTCTGAGACACCTCTGGTGTCACGAGAGACTATCTGAGAGACGCAACTTGAATTTTTGGATACCTTCAGAATAGTTGACGCACATTCAAAAGGCCGGTTGGACCGGTACCATGAATCTGGTAGCTGCTCGATTCATGATTCCTAAATTGGCGTAAACAGTACCTATTTAACCTGAAGGCATTACAAAACATCCTGTGAATTTAATGAAGATCTCTGATCACCTGATGGCCTTTGTAATAATTTCTGAGCAACCTAGTATCATAAGAGAATATCTTAGAGATGCGATTTGCGAAAAATATTGCGAAAAATATTCTACTGTCTAGAATAATTTATGGACCAGAAGTATTGCAAAATTATCCAGACAAGTTTTGGAGATCTCTGATTACCTGAAGATCTTTGGAAAACATTAGGAGTCATCTGGTACCTGAGAGATGTCTAAGATGTTAAGCAAATTTATTTGCTCGATCAATTTGTCGGCTCCGAACAATAATGAGATTTTGTTTCGTTAACGTCAGCCATCTGTCAGATTAGAAGCTTGTATTCCATAGAAATTTGAAACAGAGTTCCATTCGTGTTTCAAACCCACTAATAAATAAAACAGAATAGTCGAGCAGTTGCAAATATGGTGCAAACTAAAACTCGAATAATGAAACTGCAACTCAGCATTGCGAGGGGTGCGTTTTTGTTTGAGTTTCGAATTGAAACAGTCCACTTAAAATACAACAGCATTTCGAACGGCCTTAGTAGAATTAATCCGTGTGAATGTCATGTCAGACCCAAATTCTGAAATGCAAGTTCGAGAGAAATTTGTGAAATCGCTGAAGTCCTGTCACCCGAGCAGTACACTAGACGTTGTATGACTGAAATGCATTTCGTGTGTTAAACTACACTGAACCAAAACATCATCCTGGCATCGAAGGATTATTGCCTTACTCAAGCCCTATAACCAACAATCAATTCGAAACTAACGATTTTAAATTGGCTTACTACTTGACTAGCATATTGGTCCCAAGCAAATGGATTACGTATCCTATTCTAGGCAAAATTCTAGTACTACACTATGTTTGTTTTGATTTGCTATGAAAGTTTGACAGATAAAATGAGGGATTAGTGGATTTGCCAATGTTTCGAGGGGTGAATCGATTAGCTTGGGACCGAAGATAGTACCAGAGCTGAGCCAAAAAGTTGAGTTCGTTTCTTCGGGACCTTTTAGTCTTAGAGTTACCTCTATGCTATAACTATTATCAGATGATTTTGAGAGGATCGTCATTCGATTTATCATCTGTTGGAATATGAACAAATCAAATTACAATCATCCATACAATGAATGATTTTAGATCAATTTGCGAAAACCAAAGTAGACATTAATCAAACATAAAATCATAGGATAATGGTATTATTTTCAATTTATTATTAAATTGAAATTATATGGTGAAATTATGATACGTCATTTTTTAATTTATTTATGATCATATTATTTACAAGTTGTGATTCAAACTAAACTGGGTCTTTGAGAGACGAATGATGATGGCGAGGTAGATCCAACTGAAGGGCCATTATGTTGTTATCTGGGGGGGGGACGTGCTGTCAAATCAGCCTACTGATCATCTTGTATGAAACTGGTTCCAAACGTAAACAAACGCTGTAGGTTTCTTATGGCTTGTTTACGTTTGGAACCAGTTATGCGAGGTAGGCGACGATTGTTCGTATTTGACAACCACCTCCCCCCTTGGTTGTTATACGACAGATTGATGTTGGCCTCGTAGACCTTCCAGGAGTTGTCAACGATGTCATTACAGGAGCGATTGCTCTGGCTTTTGGGAAACGTATCCGTAAGTTGCTTTGGGGCCTGGGAAATAATGGGAAAACTTCAATCGTCTCATCGTGCATGTGCCACTGGAAGGAAACTTATCTTCTGGCCTCGTTAGCAAAATTGGTCGACCACGAGGATCTGGATGATCCAGTAACGCTGACCGTTCCGAATGCTGACATTCTTGAACATTGAATGCGTGAGGGTTAGCAAAATGATACATATACTTACATCTAAGCATTTCAGTTCTCTTAAGACCTCTGAAAATATATATAACAACTCTACACTCAAGCTTTCACATAACGTGTGTTGCCATTTTTCTTCGGTTATAAAAGATTTTATAGTTGAAATCAAATGATTTTTAGTTATGGGCAGGCATGGAAAATCATTTGCATTCATTTGCCTCTAAATGTTTTCATCAACAGCATTCCGCAAAATGATGTATATAGTTTTTGTAGGTTTTGTTATTCGCTACTTCTGTTAACAAGTCAAATCCATATCTCTGATGCATGACGAACCAGAGCGAACAGAAGCCACTACTGTTTTTCAGTGAATGTATTTTACATTCACTGAAAAACAGTAACAAGTTCTGACCGCTCTAGTTCGTGATGCATAAGAGATACAGATTTGAGTTATGAACTAATAACAAAACCTACAAAAGTTCTAATCTGTTGAAGAAAAAAGTTAGAGGCAAATGAATGTAAATGAATGTATGAAATAAATGTAAATGATTTCCCATGCCTTGTTATGGGACTATCTCAAATGATATTCCATACGTTTCAATACTGAATGTTTTTCATTGTATCTAACATATTTATTGCTAACGAAATACAAACAAAAATATGTCAATATTCATTCACTAATCAAAAGAGCATCACATGTTTCCGAATAGAAAATCATCCGACTGATTTTGTCATACGGTTTTCAGAAACATTGATATTGGATGCAACTGAATGATGAATTATTCTATAAATGGAGGGTGATTTGGTTCAGTGTAGTTGTTAAACGGGGCTGTGTCATTTCGCCGAAGGACATTTCGCCGAATGAGTCATTTCGCCGAATTTTACAACTCGAAAGAACTGCTCATGTTTAAAAGAAGGAAGCATTCCTATAAATCAAATATATTGATTATATAAAAATTCAGAAATCAGTACAACTCGAAAGAACTGCAAGGAAGCATTACATTTGAATAGCCTGCCAGGTTAAAAAAATCGAACCTTTTTTCGAGACTGATTTCAAAATTTACTGAACTTTGAGAAAAGTTTAAAACCGTAGAAAATAGCTCGCTCTTCGGCAAAATGATCCATTCGGCGAAATGACCTTCAACGTAACGTCCTTCGGCGAAATGTCCCGCTCTCTTGTGAACCTAAAATGCATCAATGTTCATCTTCGTGTTCATCTGGTTCGTCGAGGTTTATTGAAATGTACAAATTTTACAATTAAGTGCTCGATAACATAAACTTCTTTCAGTTAGTGGACTTTTTGTTAAAATGCATTTAAGTAAAAAGTCTTTCAGTTTGCAAATTTTTAGTGAAGTTACAACCTAGCATGTTAGCTGCTGTACACACTTTTATGCTGTAAGCAAGTCAATTGATACTTTTTTTAATGTTAATAAATTATTATCAATGTCTGTATAGATCTGTAACTTTTTACGTATATCTGTATAATGTCTTTACTCTGTATGAAGTCTGATCCTGATGCATGATCAAATGCCAATCCCGTTAGGAGAGCCCTTTTGGTAGACTTCTAACCTACCATCGTAATCTAAAATTACCCATGCTTATTTTCAACTTCTAAGCAAATTTTACACTGCCATACTCTATCAAAACTATCAACTCTTAACTTTCATCACTTTCCCTAAAGCCAGATGTTGGTATTAATAAAGTATTTCTAACAATTTCTATCTTTTCATGCCAATTTGGCGTATTTAAGCAATTTTAGCGTTTTTAAGCCTTTTAAAAAATTTTAAAACGATTTGGTGTTTTAAGTGCCAATTTGGCGGATTTGTAGTCTCCATGTAGCCCATTTGTTCTTGATCTTGTTAAAGCCTTTTTGATGTTTATAAGGCCTTTTACTTGTTATAAGATCAATTCAACATTTATTAAGCGCCTTTGTTGATTTCAAAGTCATTCCATCAATTTAAAGGTAGGGGAAATGACGGCTT